CCTACATCCTACATCGTAAATAAAATTTAAGACTTTAACTTTGAGACTAAAAGTTTATTTAAATTTTGTAATTTGATTAGTTCAATGAATAAAATGGTAAAAACTGCACAACACAAAAAGAGAAAAAATTAGAGATTTTTCTTTTTTGAAATAATTAACCCATATTAAAATTTTGCATTTATGCCAATAGATATATCCATGAAATGATATATTGATAACATATGCCACGTGTATTTATATCACAGAAAATATATTTTATGATAAAATAACTAACTTATCGGCATTGGAGATAACACAGCGCTCTGTTTCGCGAAGGAAGTACCAACAAAGTATAAAAGAGCGGCGCAAGAATGCCGAGAGTCAGTAAAAAATCTCAATCTTAGAAATCGATACAAATTTCTTTAATTTATATTAACCGCAGTTTTAAATGTAATTACGTGAAAAAATAACGTTTGGCAACAGACCAGTGATTTCAATAAAAATTCAGTCATAATAACAGTTTCACTCACAAATACGATGATGATCAATGCGACCCTGCGTTGATGTTCTATATGCTGACCAGTGTTCATCTCTCCTAAATCAAATGGACATGATGAATTATTAACCCAAAAATACTTGCATTGCTGCTTTTCATCCATTTCATAAGTAAATAAAATCACAGATATATGTAGTGATTATTTCAAATAAACAAGTTATTGATCTCATTGTTTTAACAAATTTTTGTAATACTTTTGTAAAATATAAGCAATAATTTGTGATTTTCAAGTGTGTATTTTAATTTAAAATGTAACAGAAATTATATATCTGATCTATTTGATATTCCAAATGTATAATAATTTTGAACAATAGATTATTGAACCTTGTTAAATAATGATAATAATTAGTTATTAAAGAATACACTACAAACTAAAATGCGATGCTTATGGATTAACGCTCAGGCAAATTTGTACCGTTTACTTGTAGGCAATCGAGACTGCAAAAATAAAGGACAGGGATGTTCAATTCAATTATCTCGATGCTCCTCGCGATGGTCGTACTGGGAGTCGCCCGAACACAAAGAGCAACGAAATGACTTCAATGCAAGAATCCGCGACAAACTTATGTTCGTCGTTCTCTAACAATAATCTCAGAGGCTTTCCGAGAACGGCTTTCAACTATTGGGTTACCGGGAAGGAAAAAGAGTTTCTCAGATATTCTCGACGGTTTCCCTCAACGTTTCCGAGACTTTCGGTTTTTCCGACATTGCCCAATATGATTATTTCGTTTTCACGCAGAAATATGATAAAATTACACAAACCGTTTCAAGAAGAAACAATGGTATATGTAGAAAGATTTTTTAAATTATAAGAATATCCAGAAATAATTGAAATACAGAGAGATACGAAAACACAATCGATCCCCAGTGCAGACAAATATTAGGTTATCGAATTGCGCACATCAAATACGTGCAATTGCCTTTTGAAAGCAAATAAAAGTATTATTCAGTGATTACTCATATAAATTTATCTTTCGATTTTATGACTCTTTCTGAATGAACAGTGAGCAAGAAATGCACTAATACCACATGACACTGCCGCTTCTAAGAAGACAACGAACATCAGGCGAGAAGAAACACGCAGCGCGCAAGAAACGAAGACCCCGCTCGTAACTTGCCGAGTGCCGTTGATAAATCGCGATGAGTAGGTGTAAAGTAATTTGGCAAGGAACATCTGATGAGGGCTTATCGAGGAGCGTCATGATGAGGCAATTTGTAAACGCATCGTAACTTTTCGCTTCAATAATATAACCTTTCGCCCGGTTCGCCCGGTTCGTTGTCTCGATAAATTGGATAGCGGATACGACTATGAAGTATGAAGTAGCACCGATTAATAAAACGTGTAGAACTATATTTGTCGAGCGGCAAGACCCAGGGGATGTTATTTAATAAATTATCTTACTTGTGATCACTCTTATTTAACTACGTCGCTTCAGTGCCGATAATCGCGCGTATCTCTGTTTATCTCAGCTACGCCATATTGATTCTCGATCTCCGAGCGCCCTCTTTTGGAGCACGGAGACAACACGGAGTCGATAACATAGAGCTCGCAAACGTCGAATAATAAATCCTTTTAATTAACGTCACATCTCTTACATCTCGCACAATGTTATCTCGTTGAATTTTATATTTCATTATTTCATTAAATCTCGTATTTTTTAAAGCGAGATATTATCAAAATTGTACTTGTAAGTCCCTGTAAGAAAGAAAAGAAGAAAAGAAAAAAAAGAAAAAACGCTGCTCTTCTATAATTAATATGAAACGCAAAGTGAAATATATCAGGAACGATTTGTCCGATTATTCTACAAAAACACATATTTGTATTTTAACGCCAGTATTTTAATTTACTTCAATTACACCAGGGAGCAATTAAATTACCGAGAGCAATAATCTGCATCGCTGTGTGGCAATCTGTAGGCTCCGCTTCGTAAATATCGTCTCTAAACTACGCCCCGCCGAACATGACGTCCTGACGGGTAATAATTGCTCGGCAGTCCCTTTGTTCGTCCTTCACTGGAGGATACTGCTCCTTGTCAACCGTACTGTATCGTCTTGCGTCTTTCATGAGGAGCTGTATCGGAATCGATATGTAATAACCGCCTCGGAACATGACGCGCAAAAAAAGTGTTGACGGGACCTAACGAATACGAACAATAAGATGGCAGCATGACGCGAGTAGAGTTCGGTCAAAACGGATGAGTGTCTTCGACGATTTAACCTTTAACCCCTCGCAAACCTCGAGTCACTCTCCGTCTCAAAGCGATTGTGCGAGCGATGACCGTTAAAATGCGTCGGTGGGCGTTCTAGCGTCAAATTAGACAAGTTACTTGGTCAATTTAAGTATTATTTCGCAAACTACATGAAGAACGCAAATAACGCTCTGCGGTACTTCGCACCGTACTCCGTTTGCAAATAGAACTATAAAAACTGCCCTCTCGAGCTATACATGCCCGTGGAACTAGGAGAAGACGAGTATGCGGCCGAGAAATCTCGCTGAAACGTTTCTTCCGAAGTTAAATCGAGACTTCCATAATCTACCGTCCCGTTGGATATTTATCGAACTACTCCTAATAAAACACCCGCTTAATCCGCGGATATATGCCTACAATGGCAGCCGCGCGCGCGCGCGCGCGCTTCAATTCATATATCCCGGGCAACGAGAGAATAATGTCCGCAAAAAAGGAGGGGAATAAAGAGGGCAGGGATTTACGAAGACGGGAATATCAAAGGAGTCGCGCCAGGACGAGGAAGAAGGGAACCTAGGACGCGCGCGCGAAAATGGAAAAGTTAAGATTATCGTGACAATTTAGGTTTTTATTTCTCGCATAATAAAATCATCCGACCTACCATAAAAAGAAAAGAAATGTTGATGCACGAGCGAGCAGGTCCGATTGTACGAAACCAGAGATCGACCGAAGACGAGCAGGGGAGAAGAAGCATTAAAGCTGGCATATTATTTCGAAAAGTTCACTCACTCCTCGCTGGCTCGCGCGGGGGTGAGTTTCGCGCCGGCGGCATTTTACGCGAGACCATCACGAGAAGGAACAGTGAATTATCTGCGCGGCGGGCTGTCGGGTCTGCTGCTGCGTAATATAATGTATATATACGTATAACATCTCCCTGCGCCCTGTGTTGCATGCGCAGTTTACACGCGACGGATGTAATTTCACCGACTAATTATCTATTCGAGGGCAACGCCACGAGGCGCTCTTTAACCTTCGGAGAGGAAAGACTACTACGGAGCGGCTACTTCGTTCCGCGACATAACGGCGAGAGTAGTTCCCCATTTGTCATTTCGGAGATCGAACGAAAAATTTGCGCGATTAAAGTTTCATCAGGCCGAAGTTTCATCCATGCGGCGCGTTGCCGGGGATTCGAACAGATAAGACGTATCGTCCGGCCGGGTCATCTATGCGAACAACGCGAACACAATCTCACGTCGCGACGAGCAAACACGAGTCCAACTTGTTATTGAACGAAATCGATATTTATAGGGGGCTGATAGAATCACACTCGTTTGAGTTCCGCGCGCCCGGTACACTTCTCCGAAGCAGGTCGCCGCGAAGTAGCAACGCGGCCATAAGTCAATTTAATTTTATCCAAATAATGCGCCTGATAGTAATTCCGCCCAGGGCGCATTCGAAGGCGCTCAAGGGCGCTCAAGGGCGCTCGCGGACGAGTGAGGAGGCGATGTAGGCAATGAGAATCTCGCTCGTATATTTCTCTGTCACATGACCAAAATACGATATCATAAAATGTCCACCGATAAAGAACATCACGTAATAATAACGCGCATTCATAGATTCGTATTCAGCACAAGAAGAGGGAAGAGGGAGAGCGCATTCCGGCGGATTGCGCTCTCCCTGCGATACCAGTCCGTCCTCATAGGAGCGCGCGCATAGATATATACGAGCACAAAGATAGCGTAATTTATTACGGTCCTGCATAAATATCGGAGATCACTCCGGCGAGTTCGCGCTTAATGATCGCATTGATCAAGCTAAAGAGCAAACAAAGAACGGTCGACAGCCGCATCGGCGCGGCGGGCGGCGTCGATGAATCGCTTGATGAGCCGAAGGGGGCTGTGTTACAGGGAGAGAGGGTGGTGAAAATCCGACTCCACCGAGCGGAGATTTACGGAGAGGAGAGCGCGACGCGCGTCCGCTGTTATACAGAGACCAAACTGGAAACAGCCATTGACAGGACATGCACGGCCGCGGCTGATGGACGAGTCACACGAGGCGTGCGATGTCACACGGTGGGGGGAAAGTGGAATAGCGTAGACCAGAGAGTCGGGATGGAACACAAGAGCAGGCATACGGAGAAAGAAGGAACGCGATGACGAGATCGCGTCCGATCCTCGGCTCTGGACGGGGGCTCCGCTCCTGAAAGCGGAGAAACGCCGGCCGCAGCCGCAGCCGCAGCCGCAGCCGCAGAGACGGTGGAGACTCGGCGCCGAGTCGCTCGGTGTTCAGTTCGCGCGCCGAGCGTGTCGCGCCCGGTCGACGTCTCCTCTCGTCGTCGGCCGCCTCAGCGAGTCTCGACGAACAGCTCCATCGGCTCTGAATTGTCATCGTCGCTGTCATTTACCGAATCGCAAGCGTTCCGACGACGGCGTCTTCCTCCCGAGACTAGCCGCGGGAAACGACTTTCCGAGAGTTTCGCGCCCGCGACGACGACCCGATCGGTGACGATTTTGCCACGTGCAGCGTCTGAAAAGTTCGCTCCATCCGCGGGAACTGTTCTCTCTCACCGGAAGCTTTTTCAATTAAATCATCATTATCGCGTGGCCCGAGAGCTACCATCACGCATCGACGAAGATATCGCGCCTCCGGCCGTAGGAACTTACTCGATAGAAAAATACACGTGGTAGCGTCAGTTAGACTCAATTCGTGTCGCCGACAACTGAGAGTTGGAAATTTCATTTTGAAATCGCGACTCCATCGATCCAGCGGCGAATCAGCATGTCGCGTAAATCAATAGCGGTGGAGGAACACTGAGAATCGGTAAAATTAAAATTTCATTTCATAAAAGTTCTCTTCCTAAAAATGTTATGTTTTCTAGGAAGTAACGGATTCGTGTAACTTGTTCGCAAAAATTGTTCGCAATAAAAAAAATGGATCGCAGTTTCGACGCGTTCTTGCGGAATATCGATGGTACCAAAGTGACGACAAAGAGCTCGAGTGATCCGTTTTCTCGGCAAGAATGATGCATGAAGGATTTCGTCTCGATTTGATCTTCCGTTTCCATCGCAATATTCGCGACTCGAGACAAACGTTCCTCGAGCCTCGGATTCTCGATCAGGAGGGAGATGGAAGAGACGGAAGAAGAGGAGCAACAACGACGACGACGAAAACGGCGACGAAGACAGCGACGTCGACGACGACGACGACGATGATGATGAGAACGATGACGGGGACGATGACGGACCGTATGACACCTTAAAGCCAGAGAAAGGGAAATTCGAATAATGGCAGCCTCTCGCGTGGATTCTGAAGTTGGCGAATACCGGCGAGTGATGTCTGCGACAGCTGCGGAATTATCGAGATCCCCGAACGAGGCTCGCGAAGTCGTCCAATCATGGACCGATCATAATCACCGCATCGATTACGCCGACGAGCCTCTCAGCCGGTCAAGGATCAGCGATCGCGATCATCCGTCGAAGTACTCGAATAACGGCCACGACTCCGTGAGCCATGGTGTGCAAGAAGACGAAGAGCGATCGCAGCAGGAGGAAGAGCCGTTCCCCGAGAAGGAAGTTCGCATCGTCGGCAGGACGTGGGACATGAACGGGGATGCAAGTTGCGATAAGGCGAACGGCCAACTCGACGGCGATATCGTCAGCGAACGTAAGATAATTGCGCGCAAAGGAGGCGACGACGGTCTCGGTGACTCGGAAGGTAAGCTCGGAGCTACCCGCCGCTCGTCCTCGGCGAACGTCGAGATCGAAGGCGGACGACAGCTGCTTAATGACCGCAATCGCGCGAGAAAAAGCACCCCCGGCGGGAGCGAAGAGCGTGTCGAGCCGGAGAAACACGCTATTCGCGGAATAAAAATCGCGGCATCGCCGACGGACAAATGCATAAACAAGGCATTCGTCGAATCGGCACGCTCCTCCCATGATGCCGATAAAACGATCGGCTCGAGCGAACGCGAGCATAGTCGGAATATCGAAAGCCATAAAGATGGCTGCGACGAGGACAAGGCAAGACTGCCGATGGAAATCAGTTCTCGGCGAGGTTCTCGCGCGTATCCTCACGGGGACGATGTCGTCGTACCCTCCGTCGCAGCGCCGGCGAGCGCAGGCTCGCCTCGAGCTGGTGATCTTCGCTGCGAAGCAACGGCTCGTAAGGTCGTTCACTCCGCCGAAGACAGCAAGCGCGCGCGATCGCCCGGAAAAATGCGACGATTCGCGCCCGCAAGCACCGCCGCCGTCGTGGATCACGAGTCAGGGGAGGTTCGCGGCACGACGGGCGTCGTCGTCGTCGGCGGCGAGGAGAAGCGGCGAGATAACGCGAAGAAATGCGACAACTGCGGGGAATCGCACTTGCCCTACAGCCGATACTCCTATCTGTGGAAGTATTCGGACTATGTGAACCACGACGCGAGCGCAGTCCTCGACGAGGGCCAACGCGACGTAGCCGCCAAGATCGCCGCCGATCGGAGAATCGATCCCAGGCTGGCGGAGAAGACAACCAGCGGCGCGGTGGTGCTTTATCGCAGCCGGTCGTTGCCGCGATTGTCGGTCCACGACAGCGGAGTCGCTTGCAGCGACCACGCACCACCACCGGGACAAGCCGGGAACGCCGCGTCCCGCCAGCTGGTTGCGGAACTCAGGCAGTTACTCACGTTGAAGCAACACTACTACCCGGAGGGTGGCTGGGGCTGGGTGGTCCTCCTCGTGGGTTTGCTCGTGCAAATCTTGTCGCACGGCACACACGGGGCCGTCGGGGTCTTCCTTCAGCAGGTGGCGGCCAAGTTCGGCCCCCACGTGCACATGCAGGCAGGTTAGTTTATTGCGGAGGAGTCGGTACTGTTCGTTACTGCACACTTAAATGAGGCGTCCCCCCGCCCCTCGACGACAAGAGGAAACAAAGCGGTGGGGACGCTGGGGAGGGATTTTTGTAACTCGTAACTTCGTGTCTTATTTTCCGGGTGTCTGAATTTGCTGTTGTTCTTCTCCGTTAATTCGCTCCGCTCGCGCGCACGCTGATTTGCGCTGATTTTCCCGAGGGGAAAAGTAGCATAATTATCGAAACAGGTCTTGAGAAGGAAAAGTGTCAGGCGGATAAAATCCCGATGCGCCGTCGTAACTTTCGGACGTTCTTCGCGACATTGTTCCCTGTAGGAATCGCTCGCACGCGTGCACATATCGCTCCGCTGGCGAACGGCCAAAACGGCGGAAAGTCGCGGCTCACTCTCGCAGCTGCGTCTAATAAGCGGCGTTTCCGTTGTCGCGCTTAGCAGCACTTGTCCGAAAAGGGTGAAACTGGAAAGTCATCGCGGAGTCGGACGTGCGCGCCACTGCGCCCGTGTCTGAGCTATTTCGCGTGAAACGGGCTGCTACTCATACATGTCGCAGGGTGTTTGAACCAAAAATAAGATGTCGCCGAGAAATGAAATGTTATCGATGGCGAAGAAAGTACTTGTTGGGAATTTCTCCGTATTTTCTTTTAACTTTTTAACTAACTATGCAGATGTAACCTCCGACATATCGAGACATACCGAGAAACGCTTGTTTCAACGCACAATGTCAGTCTCTCACTGACGATTAAAAACGTCACGTTTAACTGTACCATTACCTTGAAAGAGGCAGTTCGGCGAGCGCGGTAACTGTCACTTATTGGCGATCTTAATGGACCGATGATGAATCTATCGAGATATCCTCTCGACTGTCGCAAGAGACGAAGCGATAAAAATAATCCGGCCGCGACGCGCCGACAGCATTTGTACGTACGAACGGATGCTCGTGCTGGCTGCAATAATCCTTCCTTATACAGCATTTCGTGCGACAGGATGATGGCACACGGTCTCTCCCGCACGTTTACGTGGCCTAAATATCTCGCGAGAGACGGAAGCCGTCGCGTCGCGGCATAAGGGGCGAAATTGCGGTATCGTAAATGACGACGGTTGCAAAAACTGGTACACTAACCAGCCACTTTATGGTCGCGCCGAAGGAGCTGCCGGTTGAGGAGTAACTCGAAGGAATTTGACACGAGGAATGCGCGATTGTATACCTATGCGAATACAAAGATTTGTGTGCGAAACGCGTGAAGCAATTAACAGGGACGTTTGTGACGGAGCCTTTGGCGCATTGCCCGAAACAATCCCCGGACGAAACGTGCAGAACCGTCTCCAATTTTGATATGTCGCAGACACGTCGCGGAAGAAGTCGGACAAACAGGTTCCACGTTTCCTGCGTCCCGCAAAGTTAGCAGTTAAGATAGCTCCGTGATGCGAATCTGAATCCGATAAACAGACGAGATGTAACCGTTTACGGGGCTCATCGGATTTAGTGAAGAAAGAGAAAAAGCGAAATTCTTTCTCTTTCTTTGTAGTTGAGACGAATTGAGCTACTAGAAAATTGACGTCATAGTGGAAGTGGACTTGTGTTAGAGCGTTGATCCCGTTCTCGTTCAAGAACAAGCCTCGAGAAAGCGCTGTTCGCGCGCACGTTCACACGCGTGAGTATGCACAACCTTGACGTGGCTCAATGGTCCTCTTTTTAAATTGGCCCAGTCATTCTCTCCCGGGTCTATCTAATCATTATTCTCTTAATCATCATCCTCAGTCACATTTGCGAAACCGAGCGCCAAAGAGCGAGGACAAAAATCCGACGAAGTCGGAAGCAGAATATTACTCGAAAAAAAATATGCAAGTCGCGAGTGAAAATTTAGAACTTTTACAACAGTTATAAACGTCATTTATCACATGAAAGCGTGTGAAACGCAATATTTTGAAAAGTCTTCCTCAAATCCATATCCAGGCGAAAGCGAAAGGCACGAAAATGCGGCAGGGAAGTAACCAATCAATTTTTTGTCGGCGCATTTAAATACCTGCTTCGAAAAAAATCACCGAGAAATTTTGTTGTCATCTCAAATCGCCTGCATATCGCATACCTCGAATTCACATATTTCCGTTAAAAAGAAAAAAATTTCTTAGGATTATTATCATTATTAATTTTCATTGACCTTAGGCGAGTATATTTCGTAATGACCCGCAGTCGCGAATATCGCACAGAATGTCCTCCAAGCTGGATACTTGTTTCTAAAGTCGTATCGTGTTATATCCGATTAACTTTTCATGAATACGATTGAATACCAGAATACGAAAGCATTCAGAGCCTAAGGCGCTGAAATTTCGTCATCAGCGACGCTCGAAGTGTACCGCTGCGAATCGAGCTGCTTGCGTTTCGATCTGATTCGATATTACGACTCGCTGCGTGACATTCAATTTATACGTTTGTTACAAACGCATCATGGACGCGCGGTGATAAATTAATCTTTTTTTTCGGACTGCTACGCGTACGTTGACATCTCGCGTTATGCACAAGACAGGTTCAGATTTATAGAGAATCGTCTGTCACGCCTTCGCCATTCTTCATCGCGTGTTATGCCTGAATTCTTGATAAGCGCGCTTTCGCTCCAATTTCTCATTACGTTCTTTTAAGCTCTCTCCAAATTCATATCGTAGCGGGAGACGAGAGTATTATCATATTTCATCAGATTTTCACCATGACACATCTTTCATCTTTGCATTGCACATAAAACTGAAAAGGCAGATAAAGTGTAATGGACAAAAGAGGGAGGGTGAGTGATTACAAGTTTTCGTCGTGGTATAGAGTCAATTTCTATCTCGAGAACTGGAGGAGTATAAAACAATGATATGTAAATAGATATAAAAACGAGATGTGATACATCTGTCTGATATAGAATCTCCTTAGAATCTTATGTGAGTTTCGTGACGCGCGAGTATATATAAATCCGAACATTTCTTTCTCTCTCTTTTAAACTCAGGATGGTGAAACTCACTATGGTGCTTTTATCTGTCTTAAACAGAGACGCGGTAGGCGGGTTTTTGATTACTTCAATTTACTCGAGAGTTTATATCTCGAGAGTTGTATTATATAATGTAACTTTCCAAATTTTCAATATAGAAATTGAACAAATCTCCCACATGATCGAAACGCAAATTCAAAAATATCCATACAGTTCGATGCGATTTTTCTTACCGCCGTGAAATTACATTTCACAAAATTTCAATTCTCCCAATAAACAATAACTCGATACACATACGATAAATTTGAAATTTTTCATCTTGAACATACACGGATGCACGGACACCCGCGAGATTTTTCTCCAAAATTGCTATATGCAACGAGGAGACCTGGAATCCGTTGATCTAAATCTAAGCCAGTTACGTCCATCTCGGTCCACCCCCTCGATTCGCTCGGAAACGAAGGAAAAATCCAGAGATTAAAATTCCATCGGATTAAAATCCAAAGCCGCCCGCATTTTCTCGTGGCGTCTGGTGTCTGGCACGTTGGGTAGCGAGCGCTTCCGATAAGGAACGTGAAATATGCGTCGTGTCGGGGAGCAACGCGCGGAATTGTCGCGCGTACGCGCCGATGTTAAATGCGAGGGAAGCGCATGACGACGGCGTCCTCCTCGTAAGATGGAACTGGCCTGTTCTGACACCGTCGTGAGACAGAGCGGATGAGAGAGATGTGCGATAAAAATTGCCAGGCTTAAAAAGTTTTTTTCGGCCCCCCGCGGCGGACGCTTTCAGCACGCGGTGCCGACGCGTAAGTCTATCAAGATAAAGTCTGGAATGCCTATTGTCGCCCAGACGCCTCTCTCTTGCATGAAAGAGGGAGAGAAAGGGGTGGGAGAAAGAGTAAGAGAGAGGCTCCAAGCTACGGACTTACTTCTCCATTTTAACGATTAACGAGGTCCCGTCTAGTTCAGAACGTTATTTGTTTAGTAATTCATCTAAAAGCTCAAATACGGCCACCCTCGCTTTTACAGCAGCCCGAATTTTCCTTAACGTGGCTTTTGATACAGTTAAAAGTAGCAATTACATAGTGTTTTCTTTTCTAAAGTTGGTTTCCAACGATCCGCTCATTTTTTAGAAACATCAAGTTACGTTTAAAAAATAAATATTTTTTATATATAAAATAAAAGTACACTTATCTCTCTCTGAACGCATAAGGAACAAATAACAAATGTGTGAATAACGAATTCGTAAAATAGATAGATAATTCGTGTCAAGGGCAAATGCTAAAGCCTTGCGTTGCAAGCCGCCTTTTACTCGCAAATCTGGCCTCCTAAAATAATGAAAGATACGAGCTACGCAAAAATACCACTGCACGTAAGCAATAGCGCGTGAAAACACGCACCTCAGAGTTGTGCATGTACGCGAGAGGCACGAAAATAAATCTCATGTTAAAACATACGCAGTGTGATAATCTGAAATGTCATTAATCCAAATCTTAAACAGCTCGGTCAAAAGAATAAAACAATTTTCTTGTACTCTATATATACATATTATATATATATATATATCATATATATATATATATATATATCTCTGCTAATGAAAAGTTGACAAAGTAAACACAATTGACGGAATAGAGAGTTATTAACAAACATCGACGAATTCAAAAGGTTCACTAAGTATTCGCAAGTTATTATTTCTCCCTTATTAACACAATTCGTTTATTACAGCAATGAAAAATTCCAAGTCTCGAAATGAAAAGTAGCAATTCGAATTATCGCAAGTTTCTTTCTCCCGAGCGGATTAACTTCGAAATATCATCGAGACAATCCTCAATACGAAAACGCAAGACCACCCTATCCAAGAGGATTCGGTTATCTCCTGAGATCGCTTTCTCGGTGGGCGTCGTTACTGCAATTGTAATCGAGAAACGCTTTACGCTTTCCGTAGGACGTCGCCCAAGAAATTGTCCACTGCGGCTCACGAGTCCCGTAAAAAAGACGTCGACCTT